GGTCAACGCACAAGCCAAAAATTGGACAGTTTTTAACGGATTCTCATTATCTTATATTCATTGAAATGTGGAAGGTCGTGTCTTTCCACTTCTTTTAGGATAACCATTGACTGTGAACCAGGGATGAAAGAGTAGGTACAATTGATTATATATGATATGATATAGATTTTAGGTACAATCATCTCTTGATCAGATGCATTTTTAGTTTTTTTTTCTTTTTCCTTTACCGTGCTAATATAGTTACTTGTAGGCACGCGAGAAGCTTCGCTTTCATTTTGAAGAATAAACAATTCGAAAGAAAAGAGGTCAAAAGGAAGAATTTAAAAAAGTCATATTAAGTATTATCTTAAACATCTTACACTGTTTTTAGAGCAGCTACTACGAAAAATAAACACGTTACTTAGCTATCCTCAAATTCGTAATTTTTTTCTATTAATCTTAACGCTTATTTTCACTAAGTCAAATTAAATGGCATTTGCGGTCAAATAAGTGAAAACAAATTGTCAAATGAGACTAAAAAATGGTCTTTTGATTGATTTAGATCATAATAGGCCTTCAGGCGTGTACATGCGCTGTTAAAGTGGCTATTTATAAGTTTTTGGCCCATAATATCATCGGTAAAAATAGGGATAAAGGAAAGAAAGTTGTGTCAAAATATGTCAAAAAATTTTGTTGTCAAAATATGGCATAATGAAAACCAGCCTTTATTCGCCCATACAGTTAGGGATGCTCTTAAAAACATCGATGTTCCCGCAACAAACATCGTTGTCAAAAAACATCGGTTATAAAAACGATACATCGATGTTTTACCGATGTTTTAATATCCCATCTACTACACGAAATAAAATGTAGCCTGAAATATTTTTTAAACTCGAAAGAACTAGATTCACATATCCGCTGCAAACCATAACTTTATACAAAACTTTGAAAAATTCAACAAATCTTTTAACAAATCTTTCTTCACAAGCGTTCGCTTGCCACTGGTCGTTCGGCACAATACGAACGGAGTGAGTGAACGATGTCGATGTTTTTCACTTTCCTAGTCTATGTCAGGGTTGCCACTGACGAAAAAAATATTTACCATCCATTTGAGAAAAATCTACCTAATCTGGAAAATATCTACCAATAAATTTTTTATTGTTATTTTAATAAAAACTATAGCTTTGTTATTTTTTTATTTATTTTAATTAAAACCATAGTTTTTTATTTTTTTAGTTATTTCAATAAGAACTAAAATTGTTTTTAAGAAACTTTTTATTTAACTAATTGTGCGGTATTTGAGTCATATTTTTGGCATTTTCGCAGTTTCCTTCAAAGCGGAAGTGATGAAACTAAAGGCAACAACGAAACTTCATACATAATTTGAAAAACTTCAACTCGAGTTATTATAGACAAATACAGTGACTCAAAAAAGCACTTGGTGATTTTTTTATTATTCGCAATGTTTTTCAAGTAACAATTTTTTGTTGCTTTAACTAAATTAATAAAAATTAAGGATTCAAACTATATACAACATTTAGAAAAATTCGAAAAAATTTCGTCCAAATTTCGAATTTTTTACTCTGAATTTTTGGAATCGGAAGATACCGAGTTTTAAATCAAATAATACTTGAGTATAGCTCACAATGTGGTTCCAGTTGATTTTTTTTTTAATTTTTTGCCGCCAGTCTTTTGTGTTTCTTTACTTAGCAATTTCTATTGATAAAAAATAGCGTTGATTTCATTTTTTTTCGAACAATTTTAGTGCTTCACTACATACCTGTAAATTTTTTCTTTATATTTAAATAATCATTTAAAATATTTAGGCCATCAAAAGCTCCTCGGGATTCCAGTAATATGAGTTTTGAATGGAGCACGATATGTTCGCTTTATATCGATATACATTTATACGTATGCAAGTATATAAAAAGTATGCAGAGAAATTTATAATATAATTATAACTACGAAAAATAATCCGGTAACGAAAAGTTCAACAAAAATCTACCAAAATGAGAAAAAATTTACCTTTTTACCAACCCAGATTTTTTCTACCAATTTTGGTAACAATTTACCAAAGTGGCAACCCTGGTCTATGTATCGACGATGTATCCTCCAGCAAAACATCGATATTAACATCGATTTTTTTGGACGAAACATCGATGTTTTGAAAACATCGATGCATCATTTGCATCCCTATATACAGTCCAGTGTCTGGGATGTCTTCAAATTTCATATTTTCTTTAGATGAGAACTACAGCTATTTGACCCATATTCGCTTTTTGATTTCTGGAAATATATTTAAAATGCTTTCGAAGTTACTTACGGCAATTTGATTATTTTCTAGCAGACTTTTCCTGTTGTTTTATAAAAAGCTGGATAAAGAAGTATACTTCGCAAAGTGTGTTTTTTGTCTTTTTCGCCAATATTTTTCAGTAGTCAAAATTAAACAAAATCAACGCTTCTTCGATTCCCATTAGACTATAGTCTATAGATATAGGCTCTGTTAAAAAAAAACCTAATCATGTTTAAAGTACATCCATCTTTTGTATTCATGTTTTAAAAAAAATTTATAATAATAATACAAATGAATGATGTAAATTTTTTTAGGTACAATCTGTCTCATTTAGGTACATTTATTTTATGATATTAGGTACAATCTGAAATTTCCATTTTTCATCCCTGCTGTGAACCGAAAAGCTTCAGAAAAATCCGCAATTTTTTTTATTATTTTCATATTTTGTTGGGGTTTTTGTCATGATTGTCTTCTGTTTTCACTCAATACTAATGCATAAAATGCATGTTTGTTGTTGTTGTTGTTGTTGTTGTTGTTGTTGTTGTTGTAACTGCTTATTTAGCCCGTAATTTTCCACAGGCTCAAATAACGGTGGGCCCAGAAAACTTAATATTTCGATTGGGCCGAACCAGAGGGAGAGGTGTGTTAGTTGAGTTGGATTGGAGCGGGCATGTGAAGAGGTGGTTGGCCTCATGGGGGAATCACCCCATGGTGGACACTCATTTTAGATATTGGGAGGCGTAATCTCCTTCTATAATCCTGCTGTTTCACAGGATGCACAAGTTTTCCCGCTCAAACGGGGTCATTGATATTCCTACCGTTTTCTCTCAAATTCAGCACACTTCTTCTTGATATTCTGATGAACTTTTGATGTGCCTAGGACATCTGTGGAGCTTAAAAAATTTTGCGCTTCTTTGTGTGTATACTTAAAGAATGGGGCTTTATTAAGTTATCTAAATTGTAAATTTGTAGAGGCCATTTATGTTTTTGGTCCATTTTTGCAGAAGCATCTCGTATCATAAAGTTAATACCCGTTAAGCCAGGTCATACGATAAATAAGGGTTCTCTAAATATGTCGACTCCGGCGCCATCTGTCGGCACCATTTTTTGCACTTAACGCCATAAACACTCAGATAACTCGTGGCCTTAACCGTAACCGTCCCAGTGAGAGAACGATTCTAGTAGCGTTGGACTTGTCAAAGGCGTTTGACACCGTCTGCCATTCCACGCTACTAGAAGATATAGAGGCTTCCTCTCTCCCAAAAAGGCTCAAACGGTGGCCGGCAAATTATCTGAGTAGTCGACACTCGTCGATAATGTTTAGGGACAAATCGAGTAAACTTAGAAAAATAAAACTGGGGGTTCCACAGGGTGGTGTCCTTTCCCCCCTACTGTTTAACTTTTACATTTCAAAGCTCCCTCAACCACCAGAGGGAGTCTCGATTGTCTCTTACGCCGACGATTGCTCGATCATGGCGACTGGGAATGGAATTGATGGCCTGTGTTCGAAAGTAAACGGGTATCTCTCCGAACTTTCTCGCTTCTTCACTGCAAAGTGTGTAGCCCTTTCGCCTACAAAATCCTCTGCGACCCTGTTCACAATCTGGACGAAGGAGGTCAGACTACCGCTGGGAATTCACGTCGATGACACACCAATTTCGACGGTGAATAATCCCAAAATACTCGGAGTAACATTCGACAGCCTGCTCTTCTTCTCTGCGCACGCAACCGCTATTGTCAATAAAGTACAGAGCC